ATATTTTGTTCATATGCATTATTATTATTAGGATAAATTACACTTTTCCCTCTTTATATTTGACTATTTTTCTCATTTTATCCTATAATTTTTTTTTCTTGGCCTTTCGTATTTTAAGTTTTTCTTAGTTTACTCCTAAAGTAAATTTTTTTCAAAATTATACAAAAAATGTCACATTAATGGCATGCAAATAATTTTGTGAACTCATTATGGTATATATTGCTGACAAAATAATTTTGTAGAAGAAAAGAAGAATTTAGTGACGAAAAATCATAATCCATTGCCAATGATCAACTATTTCCAACGATAGACATCACATAACAACCTATTCTAATTATTTAATAATTAGCTATATAGTTTAGGGTTCAATAATGGTTTTCGAATTAAACAAATTTAACCAATATATTTTAATAAAATCGTGAAAATCGTGGTTAAATTAACGAGCCAATCAAATAAAAAATGATTCAGCCTAATTTATTAGGTCGAAAGACCAACTTATAGAAAAATTAATTAATTAAAAATTTCAAATTTTATTTTGAAATTTAAACTGTCTTAAACTAAAATATGCACAACACTGCAATATTAATAGAAGTATAAAATTCACTTTATATAAGTGAAATAACTCACTTTTTTTCTTCTTTTTCCAATGTAGGATTATCAAATAAATCATAAACTAATTAGAATTTTATTTTTATATAGTAAATGGAAGCTGGTCAATGAAAAAAAAATTAATTGTTTCAAATTAAGAAAATTAGTATGAGATATTGAAACTCTCACAGGACTCCTCACTAAAAAGGAAAAATTAGTAAAACATCTCTCTCTAACTTTATGTAGTAGGAGAGGTCCAAGATTTTATTTTTATTTTTATTAGGTAAGGTCCCTCAACATTTTCACAGAGAAAGTTTGACTTTGAGAAATTTCACCCGACTCAGAGAAAATTTCGACCCCGACTAATTTCTCTAGTATGATCAGAGAAAAAAATTTCTCTGTGAATTTGAAATTTCTCTGAATCGGGACAAAATTTCTATGAGACGGGTAAAATTCTGTAAGTCAAATTTTCTGTGTAGAATTGTTGAAGGATCTTAACTACTATCAAAATATTGTATATGATTTATCTTATAAAATCTTAATATCATGAATCTTAAAAAAAATATCTCCTTAAGCAAAAACATTATGGGGCGTTTGAAGTTCAAAGTTTCAATTCTTAAAATTATAAAAATACACATGTTGCAATGTTATTAGTTGTTAGATTTTCAAGACAATATATTTTAATAAGCTCAAATTTATGAAAGGAACAAATGAGATTTATTTTTTTTTAATTTGGTAAATGACTTCTTTAAGGTCTCCAAATTTAGTGTTAGTATATATGTCATGTCTTTTATATGAAAATATTTTAAAATTTCCAAACATAATCTAGAATTATAAATTAAAAATAGATAATACATTTTTTTAGGAGAATTGTTTTTAAGATCTTTGGTATTAAGATTTTATAGGACAAAAGACATATAATATTTTCATAATTGTTGGGGTCCCTCAACATTTTTCTAGAGAAATTTCAATATAATTTCTCTGTATTTTGAAATTTCTTTGGCTTGCTCAAATTCTCTAATTTTCTATGTTTTGAATTTTCACTAGGTTGAAATTTCTTTGATTTTTTTTATATTTTGAAATTTCTCTAGTTTACTCAATTTCTCTGATCTATGATTTCAAGTTTTCTCTATGCTTTTAAATTCTCTGATTTGAAATTTCTCTTTACTAACAAAATTCTTTGTGGTTTGCTCACCAATGGGTGTAGTAGGTATGGATATAGGTATGGATTTCACAGTCGCAATTGCCACCGTCACCGTCGCCGCCGCCGCCGCCGCCGCGACCGCCATCTACAAACTCCAATTGCGTTTCAAAGTGTCAAGAGAGGAGGCCTTTTCGTCCTTTCTCCCCAAAGAGGCCCACGAAATCAAAACCTTTTTGCTCGAAACTTGGCCACTAGGATTCACAAACTCCCCTTATAGGTTCAGCTTCTTTCTCTTCCCTCTCTTCTTTCTTTTCTTTCCAATTTCTCTCTCTCTCTCTCTCATATCTATACTATTATATATATGCGAGCACATCATTTGATTGGTGTCTAAGTGTAGGGTGGCTCCTATGTGACAACTTTTCTTATTTTAAAATAAAAAAAAATATCATTCAAACTCGCGAGCAAGATTTGAATTCAAATCTTGAGACAAGAAGCACATTATGATATTAATTTTTTTATTATTTATTTTTATGTTTAGTTATCTGAATTGTACACGCATGTGCCACTTATATACATATATGTTTATTTTTCCCTCCTTGCGTACAATAATTTAGTGAGATAAAAAGAGTATTTGAAAATTTCTCTACACAAAAATAGGCCAAGCTGTTACAATTAAAAAAAAAAATGACTAAGAATGTGACCAAAATAAATTATGCTGCGATTTATAAATCCAACTCCACTATACGACTTAATGTATAATTTCTGAGAGAGGATGTAAACAAAAATTGAAGAACATTTCTCAGAAAATTTTTCAGAGAATAGATGAGAGTGATTTTAGATCAAAGAATATTTTCTAGTTTCTGTAACTTGTTTGTAGTTGTTGTATCTTGTTCACATCAGAGGCCTTGGTATATATAATGAAACTTATAGTCGTTTATAGCCGTTATATTCATTTGAACATCTTCCATTCCATCATTACTAATTTAAACTTGTAGGAGACAAGATCATTACTAATTTGAACTTTTTGAACTCCTGCTGTTGGGCTGTTTGAATCTCTATTTTGGGCTGTTTAAACCTCTGTTTTTTGTTTGAAATGAACTCCTAATTTAAGCAAACATTAAATACATTCTAACAACATTTAAGATATTAAATACATTCTAACATTATTTAGGATAAAAGTTTAGTAAGATATAGTAAAATAAATTTTGATTCTATTTTTCTCTTCCAAATAAATTAAAACATAATTAAATAAATCATCAAAATAAATTTTGATTCTATTTTTCTCTTCCAAATAAATTAAAACATAATTAAATAAATCATTAAAATAAATAAGTCTAACAGGGGTGTTTTGGGAAGGTGGTAAAAGGTTGCGTTTTGGCTTTTAACCAAGCTTTTTGACTTTTTCATAAATGATTTGGGAAGTTGGTAAAAAGATACTTTTTTGCTTTTTTGGATAATATCTATTTAAGTTGTCACATCATCATGGCTATATGTAAAATTACCAAACTACCCTCAACCAATGTATACATTTCCACCCACGATCCTGTACCAATTTTTGTTACTAATAGGTAAGTGAAATTAATTTTCCTAAACCTCAAACAGAATAATTCTTTTTTTTTTTTTTTTTTTTTTGAAATTTTTTTTTTTTTTTTTTTTTCTTTGAAACGGAAAAGATTTGTAAATTTTTTTAATTTACAAATTTATAACTACAGCATTATTTTTTTTTTTTTTGGAAATTCAATTTTTATTTGTAAATATGTAGATCTCATCTGCTTTTTGCGAACAAAATTTTCCACTGTATTCGATGCTTAGGAAATTTTATGTCATTATTCAAAAAAACCTGTCGTTTAGCTCGAACAATGTTAAACAGTTTTGATTGTATTCGGCAGAAGATAATGTTATTGTACTGCAATACTGCTACACAATAATATCATTTCCCCTACATTTCATACTCTATACGCGATTACAGCCTGAGCTCATGCCAATTGCACACCAACATGTTCCTAATGGATTTTCTAAATTCATTCATTTCTATGTCATCATCGCCCTCCGGGCCACAGTCGTCGCCGTCACCCACACCTGCTGCATTGGGCATGTCGTTGAAAATAAAATTTTCTACGTTGGCCACCCTGTTAAACACTTCATCTTGGTTTGAGTTGCGGCGTATAAAATTATGTAGTGCCATTGAAGTCCCCACCAAGGGGACCTGCATTTTTCCAAAATCATATCGAGGCATGTTATGTAGAAAACCCCATCGCGCTTTCCATATCTCAAATGTTCATTCTATTGCACTCCGTAACGATGAGTGGACCGTATTAAATACTTCGTTTGCATTTCTTGCCCATCCACCCAAGCGTCCCTCGGCATCCTAAAATTTCGCTGAAATGCTTCTTGCCAACCTATAAGCATCTTCTCCATCCATAATCTACCAGTCAATGCTGATGTATGAAACAGAGTCCTGTCTACATACGCGTAGTCTGCCGCAACGCGTACAAGTTCGACCCATATCATCAACGTCGTCGTTTCAATCTCCCCAATTGTCTCACAAATCCAGGCATTAATTTCCCCATTTCTTACGACACTTGTGAAACTACCCTCCTGTGGATCCATGGAGATTGCACACTAACAACAAACAAATAAACAAACAAATTTTCTACTAAAAACAAAAGTGGGACGCTTTGGCAAAGTGAACAAAATATATACAATTCAAATAGTAAAATTTACGTGTGCCACTAAACTCACATGTCCCAGGGATGATGTTATTGCTAGATGTTAAATTCATCTTCATCGATGCCAAATATGTGACCAACACTTGCACTTCGTAACAGAGCAACCTGTGAGATAATGCCGAAAGAAGTTATGTTTGTTGTCTCCTTCTGTGATACAATATATAGACCAAAGCCTTCATATTAATTTTTTTGCCAACTACTGTGTGCATGTGATTAATGTACTTATAGGTGTACATGTCCCACCACAGTCCAACACACACTGGACATGATTCCATCCATACACATCCAAATTTGTACATTGTCACATGCAACTTGGGCAATCAAGTGCAATTACAAAAATTGTCAAACCCATACTCTGGGCTACTGATGTCAACGTTAAACCAACAATCATATGTAAATGACTTGGTACACAAAAAAACAGTCCACCAAGACCTATGGAAGGGGAAAAAAATAGTAGAAAATTAAAACAATTAACCAAGTGAAATTGTTTTTGCCGACAACAATTCAAACATTAATACAATCAACCAACGATTCAAAAATTAAAAAGTTGAAACCAAACCACTACTAAAAACCAAAATACAAACCCAACCATAACAGTTTTTTGCCAACAGTTATACATCACATTAACAGTCCAATTAACCAAAGATTCTAAAATTTAAAAAGGTGCAACCAAACCACTACTAAACAAAAAAAAAGAAACCTGACAAAAAAAAAAAAACACCGTTGTAGATGCACACATCCTTGTTGTCCCGGTTCTTAGTCCATATCGACGACACCATCCTGTCTAAATAAACGAACGCCATGACTACACTCCACCATAGCAGGCTGGTGGGCGATTACACGCTTCTCTTCAGCCAATTGACAACGTAATCTAGGGGGAGGCCCATAATTAGGTTGCGCTTATCAGGTGAATCCATAAGCAAGCAAGTGAATGAGAATAGCGAACCACCCCCATATAACCCAGGCACCATCATCAACTTCGCAAGACAGTCCCCAACAGTGTTTTCGCCCTTCCCTGTAACCACGTACTATGTTATTTTCAGTTTCCTATTTTGTTTACTAACGGCCTCGACAAGGTTGTCCATGCTGCTTGCCACAGTACCAGGGGCTACTCGCTTGCAACATTTGGCATTAGCAGAGCCATCTGCGGTGGAATGGGGAGGAGCATTGTCAAATAGTGAACAATCCACCACGTTATCGCCGACACAATCTAGCACATCACGTGGTGGTGTGCCACCACTGAGAGGCCCCATACCGCTGTCAAGGGTTGCAGCACTGTCACTAGTTCCATCAGCATCGCGGATTTCAGTTGGCGTCCACATATGTTTTCCAGTTGTAGCCGCGCCCGCAAACACCCTTTCCATAAGATCCAAGTGCTCCAATGGCTTTGTCTTGAACTTTGCGCATCGGTGGTTCATCTAAGCCAATAAATGTATAACAAGTAATCAAAACACAAAGGTGATTAACGTATATGCAACACAAATATATTGTTCTACTACAAATTCAGAAGTACATACAACTTACATTTTTGCCCACCAGTGGTCTAGGGCTGTGAACAATCCAGAGGTGTGGTCATACCCAATCCCTGTGAAGCCTTGGCTACTATCATGTAGCTTCTTCCAAACAATTCAATCTTTCTTCAAGTTGTCATATTTATTTTTCATTTGTTTGGCAAAATGTAGCAGGCCGGTTCTGTCCAGGAGCACAAGTTTCTGCTATGACCACTTATTCGCAAGTTTCTTATAACCACTCATTGACAAGGAGCACAACTAGTAGTTACCATCCCCCATCTCTGCTATGACCAATTGCAAAAAAAGCTTTGTGTTGTCGCTGTCCCAGGTGCATTTGTGTACCGGTTCTTGTTGGGTTGGTGTGACACCCTTACCACGAGTTCTTGACCGAGTGCGGGGTGAACTAGGGGTGGATGCCATCTCACAAGCACTGTTTCACAATTACAGTTTAAATAACAAGTAGCAAGCAAAAACATGGAGTACATAGGTACATATGAATGTAAAATGACTGGAAAAATAAATGATATAAGAACATGTAGTTAAACCAAAACAGTTTGTAAGGAGTTAACTTGAACGACGTGGTATTGTGGTTAATTTTAGATGTCCTCCCATTCAAACAATTCAATTACGTCAACAAATTATTTTGTGGTTAATTTTTTTTTTTTCTTTTTTTTTTTTTGTTTGATGGGGCTGAAACTTTGGTGAGCCCTCATTGTATCGGAGGCTTGCAATTTTCAGAAAGCCTATAGGAATAGGAAAACATGAACAAAGCTACGCAACAGTTAACATAAAAGAATCCTGCTGGGGATAAAAATATAAGTTATTAACGCACAAATATATTTGTTTTTCTTCTACATCCTAACAGAGCCACATGCAAAACAACAACACAACAAAACAAAGAAGCTTTCCCTTCACTGTTCTTCTGAATTCTGTAGGGAATATGAACATAGGGAACCAACTGATACAATACAGGGACCCATCCGATGGTGTGGACTAATAAAATCCCCAAACATGAAACACGAAAACGATGGACTACTCAAAGCGAAACAAGCAAGATTCAACCACACATGCACAATTTCATGGACAACAAATAGCCGTATTTGGTTGAAATTCCACAGAAAAGCAAGAAATCTAGGTTTGTTTGTTCTTATGCCAAACTACCTCACAGCTAAAAATGGAGGCGTACCTAAATCTGCGCAGACACTGACGACACCAACGTGGAAGAGTGTGGTCAAAGGCGTTAAAGAGAGCCGACGTTGAGACATCAGTTTGGCGAGGCGAAGTCACAATAACGTCGCAGCAGCACCAAGAGGAGCAGTGAGGCATGCGGCATCGCGATGAATATCTATGGAAGCCCTATTGCAATGTATAACCCTAGACAACATTGAGGTTAGTACCGTCATTTCACTTAATTGCTTATAACCACACTCTCAAATCAATTTTGGCCAAATACGTCGGTGTCTGGCGTTCGCATTTGCGGCCAAACGTAACTTATAACCATATTGCCAAAATAGCACTAAATAACTATGTTGAATAATGTTTACTAGAACGTTCCACGAAATATATTCATTCCGTACTACTATGCATCTTCGTAATTTCCATATTTTGGATTTTCCTTCTCTGCTGTGTGAAAAGTTCAACGCATAGACTTTTCTGTCCCAATAGAACTTTTTCTTTTGTTGAGTCAAGATAAATTCTTTGGGTACTTTTTGCTGTACAGAAAAGATATTCTCAAAGGAATGTTAAATATTAAGTTTTTTTTTTTTTTCTTAAATGGTGCCAAGATATATTTCCCTCCCCCCATGTTTTAGAAGCAAATTATTTTTAAATAAGGAATCAATCGCGAACATTCACATAGTTAGAAATTGAATAAAAAACTCATAAAAAAAATGTGATCACATACAGTAATTTTAAAAGGGTAGCCCAAGCAGATATTATCTTTATACATCATGTTTGATTCACTTCACTATTAGTGAAGCATTAATAATCCTATCAAATTAGTGTGGTGTTAACTATCCCACCCCTACCCCATTACTAATAATCCTACAAATTTGTTGGATTAATTATCCATTGGATTAATAATCCTAAACCAAAGTGTCAAAACAAACATAGGATAATTGGGCCCACGGATTAATAATCCCAATCCCATGCTTTAATCCCTCCAATCAAACATGTACCTTCATTACAAGACATTGAACTTGAAGAGTGAACTGAGGAAAACAGCTACATATATGCAAATATTGGACTTGAAGAATAATGTGATGGATAATGACATCGATCATGTATACGTAGAACACAATACAATATTGACAACCTTTTTGATTACTAAAGTTAGTAGGAGAGCAAGACAATTTTTTATTTTATTTTAAAAGAGCACATAGAGCAATATTAGCCAAAACATGGAGTAGCATCAACGCTTATCTTATCTTTTGAACTTCAGTATTTTGTTTCTTGCAACTTTATTTGTATGGCCTACTTAGTTTGGGGGAATGTATTTGCTTTTGAAGGATGAATAATTTTGTAAAAAGGTTGAAGTCGGGCTAGAGGCTATCAGCATTGCATTGAGGGGTGTCTCTCTCCTCTCTTGAGGGATTTAAGCACATTTTTGTGGAGAAATTGGTTGCTAATAGTTCTAGTTATAGTGAATTCATAGAACATAACTAAATAACAACTTCATTACAAGACTTTTTTAACAATCTCACATCACTCAAAACTAAGCAACATTGACTAGTACTTCTTAAATTAATTTTTGGTTTATTGGAATGATTTTGAACAAGAATAAAATAACTATTCCTTGATCTCCTAATCGAATAACCATTTCCCAAAATTGGTGAATGGTGATTCCATTCAAAAAGCACATTCCCTGCTATTTTACCAAACAAAACAAGACAATGAGTATTCCAACATAATGACCACTCTATTCTAACCTTCATTCTACTACACCAAACACCGCTCTATCTAACATGACTTCTTGTATATTTTGATGTCTCTTCACCTTGACTCCATTTAATAGCTTATATTTGCTGGTGCAGCATACACACCACATTTGAAATAAAAGTCTCCAGCACCTGTATCTTTTGTTTCAAACTTTTTCATACCATCAATGAAAACTGTGAGATTTGGAGATCACATGTTTCCCATGGGACCTATGGGTAATTTTCCCAAAATAAAATAAAAAATTAAATGATACAAAGACAACCCGTCTTACTCTACATAGAAATTAGAGGAATAAGATAAAAGTGCGGAAATACCAAGACGCTTTTGTACTAACAGCAACACATATCCACGTACATTATAAATGAAGTATAAACATTTTTGTACTAACACGATCACATTGCCATTTTTGTTGCAATTCATGTAAAATTCTTAAGGAGGCCTGATATCCATTATTCTGCATATATCCATATACATTATATGGTGTTTGTTGATAGACTTATATAGAAATCCCTTTTACAGTAACAGGTATAAAGCTTTTACAAAATGAAAATGGAAAAAGAAATCTCTCATTCTGCAAAAGTTATAAAGCTTTTACTTAGAAATCTCTCATTCACTTCCATTGTATAAACAAGTTCTGAAAAAAGAAAAAAAAAATGTCCACAGAACATAAAATCTCATTTTGGTCCTACACATCAAATCGTGACACTTAACCCCCTACGCTTTTGGTCAAGTGTCACATTGGCCCTTCTGTTACTCCCACTGTTTGACTCTTTAATGCTATCACTAAATGACAGAAGTTAGTAACATGAAAAACATGTGGTCACTAAATGACAGCGAAGGGGGGGAAAACTTGCTGGCAGTATCCGTAACTACATTGTCACAAATGAAGCCAATATCCACACGAACATGCAAATCGCCATAATTCATTTCATAAAATATATTGTTGGTATCCACCAAGTCAAAATGGCCACATGTTCATGATGCAAACATGCTGGCAGTGTCCATAACTACATAGGCAAAACATGCCACATTACATGCTAGCAGTATCCATAACTACATAGACAAAGCATGCCACATTGTCAAAAGTGTTTGATAATCAAAATAAACAACACCCCTACTTTGGGTTCTTCTCCTTAAGAGGCAGATGCATTCTGAAGTGAGGACAAGTTCACAACATT